CCGATCTGGGCGTATATCAGGTTTAGGCATTAGTATTTTCGTAAATATATTAAAAATAAGGGATATTTTTGTAATTTTATATTTTATCCGGTACCCATGAGATAACCCGTAAAGAAATATTTAAATTTGAACCCGAACCCGAAACTTGGGTTTTCGTCTAAAAAAACTCGGCATGTATCTCATTGTCTCGCATAGTGATACAATCTGGGTATCCGTGAGATAGGGTACCCGAAAACCCGCGGGTCTCGGGTAAAAATGCCCACCCCTATCAAAAACTCACTCTCATACTCTCTCTCGTTCCTGAAAAGTTTCAGAAAATAAAACCCCAAATTGGAGCTCGATTCGTGTTGAAATCGATGGAAAAATTAAGGAATCAACCCTAGAAAACCTTAGCAACAAAGCCCACAGCTCAAAATCAACTATGCTTCCTACTCAAACCTCATGAAACTCTAACGGAACCAATTACGGTAAGTAAACCCTCGGAACAAGCTGAATTGGTAATCCGGAATGGTCGAAACCCAATATGATTGGATCGGAGGATAAAAGAATAAAATGAACATAAAAAAGCATGGATACCAGAACAATAAGTAAAGACGTGTGTATGCATGATTAAAAGGAGGTTGTTGTATGAGTGCTAGTGATTGGCAATTTGGGTAGTTGGCATGACTTCATTGACATGAGATAATACTTCGGAGGGCCGGAGTATTGTTGAGCATGTGATTGTAGCCGGGTTTTGAGGTGACATTTCGATGATTGCTTTGTTTGGGACCTCCTCTTTATGATCCTTGATCCGGGTCGAGTTTCATATTGAGGAGGCGTGATTGTGATTTATCGCCTATGGGCGGAGCTTGGAGCCGATGATTCACGGGATAGCCTTGAGTGATTCGACTATCCTAGGATGAGAAAACCTTACAGTTACTTTGTGACCGCGCCGACGTTCCACATGCTATGGAACGGGTTCGGGAGTGATTCCCGGCAGAGACTGACATACATTTACCCGTGACTCGGGATTGAGAGATTCTACCGATGAGGTTATGCAGAATTACTCCAAAAGACTTGGACTCGGGTCTGATGAGTTTTTCTGTGGCAGATGGGCGGCGAGAGGTTGTCAGTCGATGACTGACTTCGCTCGATATAGTTGGTGGTGGTCTGGAGGAGGCACCTGATGCTCTAGTATCGAGAGGTGACATCGGTATTAGAGGAGATGGTTGGTGTGATATGTTTTTATGAAGTGTTGGGCCTGGTTTGGTGTATTTTTATTATTCCAGTTTTGACCGAGGAGAGTGAGGGGATTGTGCGTGGTACATGGAGAGTTCTTACCTACGCGTGTGATGCACCCGTAGAGATGATTTGACGGTATCGGTGTTACTGATAGACCCGATGAGTCGAGCTAGGACTTGCTGGACTGGTGATACCAGATCCGTATACTATCCTATGTGTGTGAAATTTAAGATTCGTTATATGACATGTTGTGTATATATATATTATGTGTATAAATATTGCATTTGATTAACCATTTGCAATTTGAGTATGATCTTCGGGTTTAACCCGAAGTACTGACTAAGCATATAGCTTACGGACGTTGTTATGCAACGTTTCAGGCTCGGAGCAGTTTTTGCAGCAGCAGGATGAAGGCACTGGTGACGTGTGATACTTTTTCCCGGGATCATGTATATTTTCTCCCTAGACGTGTACGGTTTACTTTTGTTGCCGGTGGTGTGTACTGACTTTGTACTTTTCCGTATTCACCACCCATAGGTTGTGGTTTGTATACGTCTACTATAGATATGGGTTTGCTATGTATATACATATTTCTGCTGCGTATGTGTAATATAAAATGTTTAAAATTCCCGCTATTTTGGATATACGGTTTTGATCGTCCATGTGATGCAACTCTGGGCGAGACACTGGTTACGGGGTCACAATCCATATATGTATATTTGCATGTTTAACATATATTTAGAATATGTGATGAACAATCTTGAATCACCTAGGCTTTCATTGTTTGATTTCTTCGTCTTAGCTATCATATTTATTTGTTTTCATTTATAGCTTTTAATATTGAAAAATAAAATGCGGAAATTAAATTCGAAAGAAAGAACAAAAGAGAAAAGAGCGGGAACACTTTTATTGCTACATCTCTTCTTTCTTCTTACATTACAATGAAAATAATCCATACATTTATAGGAAGAATTATTGAAAGAAACAAGATACGAAAGAAACAAATAAGGCAAAATATAATTATCACGATATATATTTTATTCTTAATTGATATTATGTCTTTAATTATTATCAATCATATCAAATCTCCATATTTTGTTTCTATTTCAACATTCTCCCTCAAGATTGATTTTGAAAGAATTCAAAAATCAATCTTGAAGATACAACAAAATGATGAAAAACTTCACTGTTATTAGAACAATCCATAGAAACCAAATTTCATTCATTTAGAGAGTATTAACCTCTTTCAAATCACTTCGCTTGACTTTAAAGTTCTAGCTTTAACTCTTTTTGTCATAGCATCTTGCTTGATCTTAGAGTTTTTAGCTTTGACTTCTTTTTGTCATAGCACATCGTTTGAATCTGGTTTTTTTACTCCTCTTTGAACGATTTGGATATATGAACATCCAAAACGCAAAAGAAAGAAGAGATTAGAAAATTAGAAAAAAGAAACATATAGTTCAGATCGCAACGCTGCTCTGATACCATATTGAAAAATAAAATGCGGAAATTAAATTCGAAAGAAAGAACAAAAGAGAAAGGAACGGGAACACTTTTATTGCTACATCTCTTCTTTCTTCTTACATTACAATGAAAATAATCCATATATTTATAGGAAAAATTATTGAAAGAAACAAGATACGAAAGAAACAAATAAGGCAAAATATAATTATCACGATATATATTTTATTCTTAATTGATATTATGCCTTTGATTATTATCAATCATATCAAATCTCCTTATTTTGTTTCTATTTCAACATTTAATTCTCATCATTTCACCATCAATCCATCATCTCACCATTAGTTTGATTAGGAGTGCTAACGGTTCATGTGTTCAATCCCGTACTACAGCGATACATACTGTTGTGGTGAGACATCACATTGGGTAGAATTTAAGATTTCATACGCGTGTATCAATGTATCAATATACATACCTATAACACATGATTGGTGGTAAATGTGTTTCGACAAATTAATGATATCGATTATGGTGAAATCTTGTCATCCGTTGTTATGTTCAAATTCATTCGAATACTCATTACATATAATTGTATATTACTACTATGATATATGGTAAATAGATGTTAAATTGTATTCCTTAACAAGAATCTAATATATTTTCATCTATTATGTATTTCGTGCAATGCATTTGGTCAAATTTATTGTTAGCATTGAGTATTGCCACCGGATAATTAGATCAGGTGAGTCATATAGTTTTGTTTTTTTTTTTGGTATAAGGTGAGTCATATATAAATAACATTTTGAAATATTTGAGAAATATTAAGGAAATATATATATTTATTAAATTTAAAAATTACGAAATTTTTTGTGATAATCTCGAAATAAAATTATTGTATAATATGGTTTTTATTGAAAGTCGGTCAAAGACTTGTTTTGTAAACATATGGAATTATGAAAGAAACCAAATGGCTTTTAACGGATTCAGTTAAGATCGGTTGACCCCGTCAACAAAGAAACACTGCGTTTTTATATAAACCACAATCCTCCTCTGTTATTTCTTCCCGCTTCTCTTTCTTCCATTTTCTGGGAAAACCTCACAGAGAGAGAGGAAAGGAGGGAGAGAACAAAAAAGTAAACCAAGAAGATGAAGATGAATTCGATCCATGAAGTTCTCTTCGAAGCCCATGAATCCTCGTTATCTGACATGACAGAGCAAGATGGTTTTCATATCAACCTTGACGAAATCGATCTCTCTCTCCTCCGCCTCAGCTCCTCCCCCTACAGCCTACGTGAATTTCTCCACCACTCGCCCGTCTCCGCTGCTGCCGTCGCCATGAAAAGTCCTTCTCCTGACTCCGATGTCTCCGACCAGTCCAAACGCAGAAAGATTTTAGTTCAAAACCAAGATTTGATCGACCCTTGTGTTTTTTCCGGCTACCCAGAGAATCCACCTTCCTCCGAACCGACCCAGAATAGAACTCGCATCGGCGACCCGAGTCAACTCGCTCCGGTCGTTCTTCGACGGTCGTTGTTTGATGGATACTTGTGCCCTCTTGCTGAGAAGCAAGAAACGACGTTTAAGTGCAAGCCCTTCCCTGAAAAGACGATGATGGAGGAGAGTCCCGAGTCAAAGGTTTAAAGAATCGCTATTTCTTTAATTTTTTTTCCTCTTGCCCATTGCTTTGATTTGTTATGGTCTTTTTTCTGTTAACGAACAACGATGGAGTGTGGTCCTTTCCATGAAGATCTTTGATGTTTGACTGGTCAAACAGATGCTAACGATGATAAACGATCGCGTGAAGGAGATGAACGGGTTGTGCAAGGACTTGGATTTTCGCAGTGAAGAACACAGCCACAAAGAACTCGAAGATGCCACAAAGGTTTGACGAACTGTTTGAAACATAATGTGAAATCTGAATAATGTTTTCCTAATCTGATTCACTGCCATTTCATGTGTGTGTGTATGCATGATTCTTCAAAATCTTGATTACAAAACGATGAACTAGGTTTTCATTATTGTTGCCTCTCTGATTCATATTTGTATTCACATTTGTGCTCCGGAGACACAAGAATAGGACTTGGAGGAAGGTTTCGAAGAAGAAGGAATGAGAATAGAGAGATCCGGAGATGGATACGTGATCCGATTGAAGTGCCAATGCCGAAATGCTTATAGGGTTCTTTTCTCTGATAGTCACTTCTACTTCAAGCTTCTATAGATTTCGAATTGAGGGTCATTTTCGAGAAGATGTTCATACACGAAAACACGAAAAAATTTACCTTTTCCTCTTGTTGTATGTAGTCCTAACTTGGGAAAATCTCGGTTGTTAATTAGTCGTTTGTTTCTGGTATTAGTTCTGAAGCTGCTTCTCTGATGTCTAGCTTTCTTGTCACCCCTATTGTGAAGTGAAATTCTATGAAGAGTAACTCCTAGCTTTCGCATGGTTATCTACTAATGTAAGAATGAGACTGATCAAACGTTACTGTCAATCGATGCGATCAGTTTGTCGGGAGATGTTACCATGAAATCACGTAGTTATACATCATAAAACAAGCATGATACTTTGATGTCAATGTTTCACTAAATCATGCAATTGTCATGTAGTTTCTCATTGTAAACTTTTTTGTTTTCCGACAATGTAGAGATATTGCAGGATTATGTGTTTCTTCCATTTTGTTTTCGGACAGTGTTCCAATGAATCATGCAACTGTCGTCTAGTTAATTTGGTATGCATGAATAATGAAAATAATCCACCCATTGCTTTCCGAGAACTCGGAGGTAACATATTACCTCACGAGATGTTTGTGTGAGACGTCATACTTTTGTCAAGAATTTAAAGCCATGGCAATAACTGTGTCCGGATTCATATGCCTCAACTATACTTGGGTATGAACATCTTTTCGACAATGATCCTGAATTCGAATACGAGCTTGAAGTAGAAGTGACTACCAGAGAAATTAAAGAACCCTATAAGCATGTCGGCATTGGCGCTTCGATCGGATCACGTACCCATCTCGGGATCTCTCTATTCTCATTCCTTCTTCTTCGAAACCTTCCCTCTAAGTCCTGTTCTTTGTGTCGGGGCACAAATGTAGATACAAATATGAATCAGAGTGTCAGCAATAATGAAAACTTAGTTCATCGTTTTGTAATCAAGATTTGGTAGAATTAGTTGTCATGACAGATATAATCATGCATACACACACAAGAAATGGCAGTGAATCAGATTAGGAAAATGAAATTAAAGAAATGCGATTCTGTAAACCTTTGACTCGGGACCCTCCTCCATCGTCGTCTTTTCAGGAAAGAGCTTGCACTTAAACGTCGTTTCTTGCTTCTCAGCAAGAGGGCACGAGTATCCATCAAACAAGACCGTCGAAGAACGACCGGAGCTAGTTGACTCGGGCCACCGAAGCGAGTTCTATTCCGGGTGGCTTTGGGGGAAGGTGGATTCTCTAGGTCACCAGAAAAAAACACAAGGGTCGATCAAATCTTGCTTTTGAACTAAAATCTTTCTGCGCTTGGACTGGTTGTTGACATCGGAGTCAGGAGAAGGCCTTTTCATGGGGCTGTTGTCTCCGGCGACGGCAGCAACGTAGACGGACGAGTGGTGGGGAAATTCGCGTAGGCTGTCGGAAAGGCTACGGAGCTTTAGTATTCAGAGACGCATTGTCAGCATGAATAATCCACCAATTGCTTTCTGAGAAGATGTGGCTGCGCTTCTTGCCAGGGAACTTGGAGGTAACACATTACTTACAGACGATTTCTTGGGTTCCATACCTCACGAAATGTTTATGTGACATTATACTTTTGTCAAGAATTTAAAGTTATTGCAATAACTGTGTCCATATTCATATGCTTTTCACTGTACTTATGTATGAACATCACCTGTTCCACACACATTCTGCATCTGAGAGATTACCTTCCCGAAACATTGATGCAGAAATTATAGATGATAGCCTCGAACACCCTCTTGAAGAAGCCCGAGATCCTTGGGCGGGAAGACGAAGAACGAAGAACGAAGCACGAGCGGTTATGATAGCCAAAGCAATGCTGGCCCATGCTCAAGATTTTGATCACTCATCTGACAACTCAGGGTACTGCATATGCTTTCCTCTCATTCCCTTTGCTGTTTCAGTGCTTTTGGAAGGTTCTAGACCAAATCATACAATCCAAATGACATTCCAAGTAATTCCTTTGATTCCTATACGTTTATATGCCTTCTTAGCTTGTATATGACTCATCCATTGAACACTTTATGTCATCGCTGATCATAAAATCAATTAGTTGCATATATTTTGACATTTTCCCTCGAAATTGTGAAGAAGCACAGCAGCAGAAGATAGAGTGAAGATTGCAGATATTAGCTGCCGAGGTCCTTCCTTCTTTGAGCAACCGGAGACTGCCCAAAACAAAACGCCTTGAGAGCATATGAAGGCTAGGTGAAACAAAGGGAATTATGAGACAAAGCTCACACACCAATCAAATGATTAAGGGAAATTACTTTCTTTGATGGTGAATCAGCAACATATTCTAGCCGTTAACTTCGAACTCAGGCAAGGTTTTGGGTAATCAAATGATTTGGGGAAGACTGATTCCCCCAAATCCAGCAGATTTTTATCCCTTTTGATATAAAAAGCACGTGTACCTTTCGCTCCAGGATCTGTTGAAATTAAACTTGATTTTAAAAATCAATTAAATATTTTGGTATGTTTATGAAAAATGTGATTAATATGGAAGATGTGTGAAAATGTGATGAAATTGTAGTTTGGTGAGGTAGTTAGAAATGTGTAGAATATGTGTGGAAGAAAATTAGGTAAAAATGTGTTTAATAAGTGAGTTAGATATGTAGTTAGGTGTGAGTTTGTAGTATAAATATGTGTGTTTGTATGGAATTTAAAATCAAGCAAATTTGAAGAGAAAAAAAAAATTCATTTCCTCTTCCAAAAATCTTCAAATTCTTTCTTCTTCCAAATATTTCCTAATCTCCTCCAAAAATCCTAAACACTAAATAATCCTCCTCCCTCATTCGAATAATCCTCCCTCTAATCCTACAAAGTGGTATCAGAGCCCGGTTTCTTAAATTTTCGAAAAAAATCTTGAGAGATTAAAGAGAGTTGTGAGAAGTAATGGCGACTACAAGCTATCAATATCCCCGTCTAACAAAGACGAACTATGAAAAATGGTGCTTACGAATGAAGGCTTTGCTCGACTACAACGAAGTTTGGGAGATTGTGGAGAAAGGGTACGAGAAAACCGAAGATGAGGAGTCTTTATCGCAACCCCAAATGAAGGCTTTGTCCGAGTCAAGGAAGAAGGATAAGCACACTCTCACTCTCATTCATCAATGTTTGGATGACGAGTTACTCGACAAAGTCTCTCATGCCACTACGTCAAATGAGGTATGGAAGATTTTAGAAAAATCTTTTCAAGGCGTAGAGAAAGAAAAAAAGGGGGAGATTAAATTCATTAAAAGCCGATTTTGAAGCATTAACGATGAAATTAAGAATTCGAATCGGTTTCGGATTATTGTTCAAGAGTGAAGTCTATCGTAAATCAACTGAGGATTTACGGGGATAAAATAGAAGATACTTCTGTGGTGGAAAAGATTCTCCGATCTTTAACACCAAAGTTTGATTACAAGGTGTGTGCTATAGAAGAGTCTAAAGATGTAGACTCGATGACAATAGAAGAATTGGAGGGAAGTTTGATAGCACATGAAGAAAAATTAAACCGAAGACAATGAGGAACAGCGGAAGAGATTCTTCAAGCAAAGGTTGTCTTGAGAATGATGAGAAAAATAAAGGTCAAAATTTTAGAGGACGCGGACATGGCCGAGGGAGAGGACGTGGATATGGCCAATATGGAAGAGAAAGAGGAAATGGAGACAATCCGAGTTACGAAAGAAATAACCAACTATCACTCAGAGGTCGTGGTGCACCAAGAGGAAGAGCAAGAGGAAGAGGTTTTCACACAAATACATATGAAAGGAGGTATAACAAAACAAATCTTGAATGTTACATGTAATAACCCGAATCCAATTTGGGATATTTAATTAAAATCGGAGAAGAATAATTAAATAAACGGGTACTAAACCTTAAGATAGGGACCACAAAGTGTAGGGAAAAGGCCCGGAAAACCACCCCGAGCGAACGAGACGACAAAAAGAAGGAAAAAAAATAGGTCGAGACCGATCGGTCTAGCACGTAGACCGACCGGTCTGAGCCACAGCGACACCGAAAAAAAAAAGTCTGGACCAACCGGTCCAGGCGAAGGAAAATATCAGCGAGCTTGCAATCATGGCCGCGTACTGGGAGTGCGTTCAAGGCCCTACAGGCGGCAAAAATCCGACCTAACTCTCCACAATCGAGCAATGATGCCACCTAAACAGCCCTACCCGACCCTAGACCTCTCTCTGGCTCTAAAAACCTCTCCCAATGGCTGCCAAACACCATGATTGCTGAAGAAAAACTACAGAAGAAAAACCAGAGGAAGAAGAAGAAAAGGAAGGAAAAGAGGGAGAAGGAAAGAGAAAGAGAAGGAGAGAGGAGGAACAGAGCTCGGTGGAGCAACAAGGGACAGCCCTAGAACGTCTGAGAGGATCGCCGACGTCGGAATCACCGGAAAACTCCATCAACTCCGGCCAAAACCAGAAACAGTTCTGGTTTGAGGTGAGTGGCTCGAGTTGACTCTGTGTGAGCTCGTTTTCATCGTTATTATGATGTTAATTCGATGAAACCTGAGCATGATTAGAAATTGAAAGTTGCAATGAACACATAGAAACAAACGGCACTCGATTTGGTGAAGAAACGAGCAAGATATGAAAGGTTAAAAATCGGAGAAAAACTGTAAAATTGCAGAGAAAAATGCAGAAGCATGCTGAGTCCGAAACTTTCGGGCCATTACCCAGAAAATAGGTGTGATAACTGAATAAATTGTTAGTTGGAATCAAAAGAGGACATTTCAAGGAGCATTTAGAAACAAACAGCACTCAATTTGGACAAGAAACGAGTGAGTTATGAGCCAACGAAGTCGGACCAGAATCTGGGACGAAAATCGCGAAATCGCGATCTGTCCAGGCTCTGGACCGATTGGTCCAGGCTGTGGACCGACCCGTCCAGACCCTAAAAATGCCGGAATGGTCCGTGGACCGACCCGTCCAGAGCCTAAAAATGCCGGAATGGTCCGAAATGGCCTGGACTGACCGGACTAGACTCCGGAAAGGCCGGACCGACCGGTCCAGACCCAGAAAAAACCAAAAATAACCGAAATGACCAGGAGCGATCAATCCAGACCTCGGGAATGCCCGGAACGACCGGTCCAGACTAGAAAGTGATGAAATTGAGCCAAAAAGATCTCAGGATGAAATATAAACCTAGGAATCGACCAAACTACGTGAAGAACGAGTTGGAACATGACAAAATGAAAAAAGGGAAGAATTGGAATAAATTAATAAATTGAATGCGCTGAGATGTGCGACACATACCGAGAGAATCGTTATATGTTGTTTGAGTTTTATTCTCCGATGGGTTACGAGAAATGACGTGCGCGTGAAGCGCATTGGATGTTGCGTGAAGCAACGGCCAACGTCATGAAATGTGATGGGCGTGAGAGGCGCTCCTAGTCATGCGATGTGACTAGGGTTTACGGCTAACCCTATGGTGCGATGCCATACGGGATTTGATGGTTGCGCGAAGCAACGGCCAATGTCATAAGATGTGACGGGCGTGAGAGGCGCTTCTAGTCATGCGATGTGACTAGGGTTTATGGCTAACCCTATGGTGCGATGCCATACGGGATTTGATTGTTGCGCGAAGCAACGGTCAACGTCATGAGATGTGACGGGCGTGAGAGGCGCTCCTAGTCATGCGATGTGACTAGGGTTTACGGCTAATTCTATGGTGTGAAACCATACATACTTGATTGTCGTGAGAAGTGACGGCCAACGTCACGAGATGTGAAGGGCGTGTGAGGTGCTCCTGGTCATGAGAAGTGACCAGGGTTTACGGCTGACCCGATGGTGTGAAGCCATACGGGAATTGATACGATGATGTTTTAATATGATATGTATGTGTGTTGAATATTGAATATTATACCTTGTGTTTTATCGTTTTAATACCGTTCTCGCTGGGAACGGGTTTACCGGATCCAACCCGGGTTATTCACTAAGCAATTGTGTTTAGCCCTCGTGGTTTCACCTTTTTCAGATCACGAGGAGCACGAGTAGCACGTTTGAGGCGACGAAGACTTCAAGAGACAACATCGTGTACGAGCTTTGCTTTCATTGAATAATTTAAACGATGAAAAACGATTTCCATATTTGTATGATTGTACCTTTTTAATTCGGACATGAGTGTTTTGAGACTTAAATGTTATTTAATTTCCGCTGTGTGTTTGATATTAAAAAGTTTTAAAATTCCCGTATTTTTGGTTTGCATTATTTTATTTGTTTTTCGTCCATGTGGCACATCCTACAACGGGAATCGGGATACGGGTGTCACAACTGTTGGTATCAGAGCAACGTTCCTTCCACGGGAAAGTACACCTCACTACCTTAAGATTTTTACAATGGAAAATGTTTGCGAAAACATGTCCCAAGGAATTTTTACAAAGAACCGACATACGATGTGTTGTCTGAGGTCACCGCTAATGCTACCTTAACCGTGGTGCAGTGAAATGACGCCACGACGTGCTCAGTCTACGACGGGAGACAACAATATCCCCAACTATGTTCCCCAAGCTGCGGAATTTAGGAAATTTCAGGAGGAGATACGAAATGAATTCCGTGCATTCCAGGAGACCATGATACAAACCTTGATGGCACATCTCCCACCTCCACCCCCAGCGCGAGGTCCGGAACCTAGGGAGGAAGACCTACCTCCGCCACCACCTGCACCGGCAGCGATAGGAGACTACCTACCTATTGTTCGGGAATTACGGGCCATGCACACTCCAAGGTTTGGAGGATCACTGGATCCCGAGGCTGCAGAAGAATAATGGATGACATGCATCACACGAGACTGGAATATGTTCAGTGTCCCCTACGATATCGAGCGCTACTAGTGAGCCATCACTTGTCCGGGCAAGCTCGACATTGGTGAGAAAAGGTGGTACAGGAGATGCCGGACGGGCATCGTTTCACCTGGGAGGAATTCAAGGAGGAGTTTGAGAGGAAGTACTACCGCCGACAGAATCAAGAACGTCGCCTCTCTGATTTCCTGAACCTGCAGCATGGGAACATGACTGTGAGGGAGTACAAAGCTGAATTCGTACGCATGCTTAAACATTCGGCACATCTGGTGCCCCTAGAGAGCTAGAAGATCACTAAGTTCATTGTGGGACTACGACCTTCACTCCGCTGGAGAGTCACACTCCACGAGTTCCGAACTCTAAGCCATTGCATTGACCAGCTGGAGAAAGCGGAGGAAGCGGAAAAGGAGGAGAGAGCCAGCAGGGCCCGTGACCGAAGTCCTCCTAGACGCCATCCCTATACGCGTCCGTCAGGGAAGACTGGTTAGACTGGCCAGAGCAGCCGAGTAAAAGACAAGGGTAAGGCGCCAGTCACCCAGGCATTACCTCCGCCATCTCGGAGAGGGCTACCGGTCTGCTATCGGTGCCAACAGCTGGGACACTTTGCGGCATATTGTACGGTGAGACCCGCAGAGCCGCCAGCGCGAGCGGCTATGCCACCGGTGTAATGCCCCGATTCCCGAATAAACTATTTAATTTAATTTCGGGAACAAAATAGGGTAAAACAAGCCTAAAATATAAGGTAATTGGCATAAACATCGAATCAAGGGACAAGTGGGGCTAGAACACATCGAAAACGTCGGAAAAACGAAGAAAAAATGACCTAGACCGATCGGTCTAGAGGTAGACCGACCGGTCCAGCGAAAAAACAGAGAAAAAGACGAAAAATCGGTCAAGACCGGACGGATCAGGGTGCAGACCGGACGGTCTGCACGTTCGCGAAACAGAACGGACGGACCAACACCAGAACGGACGGTCTGGGGTTTAGGGGAAAAAGTGGCCGAATTTTCTGAATTTCTTCCACCTTTCGGCCGCGATTATTGCGCGACATCTCGACCCCACGCGCCACCAGCCGCCACCCCTGTCTAGTGGATGACATCCTCTGGCCCTCTTGGCCACTCTAGCACCCTTAGGCCGCGAGAAGATGCCCATTTAACCGGCCTAAACAGAGTAACAGAGTCATCTCGAGCGGAAAACTGACTGCGAAAAAAAGAGAGAAGGAGAGAGTTGGAGGACGAACAAGGACGAGGAGAGCTCGAGGAACCCTAGAGGGGCGGGCATAGAAGGATTCTGGAGAGTTTCAGAGCCTTGAACGACCCGTAGAACTCGCACAGGCTTAGACAAGATCACATATCACAGAAAAACCGAGGTGAGTGGTTTGGATTGTGTTTGTGAGATTCTATTTTCATGATTTATGGTGTAGACTATTGATTATGCAAGAGTTAAGCACATAGGAATGTTAAATAGTGAGTGGGTAACAATTAGAACTGAAATCGAATCAAAATTTGGGCAAAAATGGCGAAAAATCGGACTGAATCTCGTGAGGAAGACGAAGTCCTAGGTCCCAGACCGTCCGGTCTCCGTGTGTAGACCGTCCGGTCTGGGACAAGACAGAACGAACATGTAGAACAAGCTGGGTCGACCGTTCCAGCAGGACCTAGACCGCCCGGTCTGAGAAACAAGAGAGAACGGACAGTCCGAGTGCGCAGGACCACCCGGTCTGGACCACGTAGAACGGACGGCCCGAATGAGCTGGACCGCCCGGTCTGGACCAGGTAGAACGGACGGTCCAAGACTAAAAACCGAACCAGATGCACACGCGGGGACTGGACAGTCTACTCGTAGATCGACCGGTCCAGAAAAACCTCAAAATCCGACCTAACTCTCCACAATCGAGCAATGATGCCCCCTAAACAGCCCTACCCGACCCTAGACCTCTCACTGGCTCTAAAAACCTCTCCCAATGGCTGCCAAACACCATGATTGCTGAAGAAAAACTACAGAAGAAAAACCAGAGGAAGAAGAAGAAAATGAAGGAAAAGAGGGAGAAGGAAAGAGAAAGAGAAGGAGAGAGGAGGAACGGAGCTCGGTGGAGCAACAAGGGACAGCCCTAGAACATCTGAGAGGATCGTCGACGTCGGAATCGCCGGAAAACTCCATCAACTCCGGCCAAAACCAGAAACAGTTCTGGTTTGAGGTGAGTGGCTCGAGTTGCCTCTGTGTGAGCTCGTTTTCATCGTTATTATGGTGTTAATTCGATGAAACCTGGGCATGATTAGAAAGTGGAAGTTGCAATGAACACATAGATACTAAATATAATTGGAATAATTACATTAATAGTTGCATTGACTCTTATTTTCATTCTCACACAAACGACACTCGATTTGGTGAAAAAATGAGCAAGATATGAAAGGTTAAAAATCGGAGAAAAACTGTAAAATTGCAGAGAAAAACGCAGAAGCATGCTGAGTCCGAAACTTTCGGGCCATTACCCAGAAAATTGGTGTGATAACTGAATAAATTGTTAGTTGGAATCAAAAGAGTACATTTCAAGGAGCATTTAGAAACAAACGACACTCAATTTGGATAAGAAACGAGTGAGTTATGAGCCAACGAAGTCGAACCAGAATCTGGGACGAAAATCGCGAAATCGCGATCTGTCCAGGATCTGGACCGATCGATCCAGGCTCTGGACCGACCGGTCCAAACCTTGGGAAGGCCCGGACCGATTGGTCCAGACCCAGAAAACACCGAAAATGCGCGAAATGACCAGGAACGATCGGTCTAGACCCCGGAAACGCCCGGAACGACCGGTCCATACTAGAAAGTGATGAAATTGAGCCAAAAAGACCTCGGGATGAAATATAAATCTAGGAATCGACCAAACTACGTAAAGAACGAGTTGGAACATGACAAAATGAAAAAAGGGAAGAATTGGAATAAATTAATAAATTGAATGCGCGGTGAGATGTGCGACACATACCGAGAGAATCGTTGTATGTTGTTTGAGTTTTATTCTCCGATGGATCACGAGAAGTGACGTGCGCGTGAAGCGCATTGGAAGTTGCGTGAGGCAACGGCCAACGTCATGAGATGTGACGGGCGTGAGAGGCGCTCCTAGTCATGTGATGTGACTAGGGTTTACGGCTAACCCTATGGTGCGATGCCATACGGGATTTGATGGTTGCGCGAAGCAACGACCAACGTCATGAGATGTGACGGGCGTGAGAGGCGCTCCTAGTCATGCGATGTGACTAGGGTTTACGGCTAACCCTATGGTGCGATGCCATACGGGATTTGATTGTTGCGCGAAGCAACGGCCAACGTCATGAGATGTGACGGGCGTGAGAGGCGCTCCTAGTCATGCGATGTGACTAGGGTTTACGGCTAATTCTATTGTGTGAAACCATACATACTTGATTGTCGTGATAAGCGACGGCCAACGTCACGAGATGTGACGGCGTGAGAGGTGCTCCTGATTATGAGAAATGACCAGGGTTTACGGCTGACCCGATGGTGTGAAGCCATACGGGAATTGATATGATGATGTTTTAATATGATATGTATGCGTGTTGCATATTGAATATTATTCCTTGTGTTTATCGTTTTAATACCGTTCTCGCTGGGAACGGGTTTACCGGATCCAACCCGAGTTATTCACTAAGCAGTTGTGCTTAGCCCTCGTGGTTTCACCTTTTTCAGATCACGAGGAGCACGAGTAGCACGTTTGAGGCGACGAAGACTTCAAGAGATAGCATCGTGCACGGGCTTTGCTTTCATTGAATAATTTAAGCGATGGAAAACGATTTCCATGTTTGTATGATTGTACCTTTTTAATTCGGACATGAGTGTTTTGAGACTTAAATGTTATTTAATTTCCGCTGCGTGTTTGATATTAAAAAGTTTTAAAATTCTCGTATTTTTGGTTTGCATTATTTTATTTGTTTTTCGTCCATGTGGCACATCCTGCGACGAGAATCGGGATACAGGTGTCTGATAACTCATATTCTTCTCTATATTTTGATGAGAGTTTGTCTAGGTTTTACAGGATAATCACATGCATTCATAGGCATTCTAGACGTGTTAGGACACAAAACCCGGTTGTGCTTTAGTTTTGCAGATTACAGGTTTCGAAAGTGATTGGACTCGAAAAGGAGCTAATTGGAGCGTTAAAGGAGAAGTCCGGATGAGATACTCATGTTGCGACGTCAATATCTTTCTCCACAGAGGTCCAAATCGTGCGAAATCTATACCATTGGAAAGAGCACTTCAAGAGCTTCGCGTAGACACCAAAATCGCATAAATCCGACACCGGAACAGAAAGATATGAGCGAAATCGCGAATACCAGAGAACTGCCAGTGCAAGGCCGGATCCAACTGGATCCGGTCCGAATCAAGACAGCGAGCACAGGCCTAGGAATCTGGATCCGGTCCGGATCCACCTGGAATCGGTCCAGATCCAGTCTAAAATCCTGTTTCGCGATTTTCAGCATTCTACCGGGAATAGGACTCTGGGGAGCCATCCTAGGGTTATGAAAAAGCGCTAGCCACGTCCTAGAACAGGGGAGACCCTTAGAGAACACCTAGATACACACTTTTGGAGAGCTTTTGGTGAGAGAAGAATAGAAGTTCACGGGATTTCGGGAAGAAGAAGGAGGATTCGATCGTGAAGACTAGACATCGACATGAGCTTTTCTATCCCTTCTTTTATCTCTTTTTCTCTGTTCTTTCTATTATTTTCCATGAACCTTGAGTAGATCCATGACTATGGGTTAGGGATTCGTATGTGTTTTGGGTATGTTTGAACCCTAACTTGGATCTCGGTTTTGATTTGATTCGGTTCTATTGATTTGCACTTTTATTGGATTGATGTTTGCTAACCCCTTGATCAATTATCTTGGATTCTGAACCACATAGAGATATGGGTTTGTTTCAGATCAAAATCAATAGGATAGATCGTATTATTC